CTCTCCCTCCACTATCCATCTACTTTGCCAATGACCCTGTTCATTACTCCATAATTCTTACTTGAATGAAATCAAGAGGGGGGGTCTGACCATGAGGCAGGTATCTCTTGCACAGAGCTATCCGTGTGTTTTAGTGCCCCATCAAACCCCCCCCCACAATTCAGGTCACAGCCTTTAGGGCTGCTGAAAGCTCTGTCAGAGCTGCTGCAGGGCCAGGACACAACACTTCCCACTGGGAAGAAGTGCTGGTGGCAGGAGGATGTACCCCATAAAAAATAGGGAAGACCAAGGTATTACTTCTTGGCCCCTCAACTTGTTCAATTGCATCCGTGTTTTGGTATAAGTTTTTCAGAGGGCAGATGTTGCCAAGTGTGCTTACCGACACAACACAAGTGAGCCAGAACTTGAACTCCCAGCTAAATGATCACCCCCACTGACGGCTCAGACAGTGGCAGTACAAAAGGATTTAAGGATGTTCATAAGAAGCAGGACATGCACTCGATCCTCCACTTTCCGGCAATTTCCCAAACCGAGAGTACTGCAGTGAAGATGAGCTGCCAGCTCAAACGCAGTGGGTGGCTCTACCAGGTGTGCCTTCATCACAACAAAGGTGAGATTAAGGAAATGCAGAGTTTTAGGGGATTTTTAAGGAGCGTGAGATTAAGGAAATGCAGAGTTTTAGGGGATTTTTAAGGAGCATGAGTTTGTGCTTTCCTTGACTAGAAAATGCATTAAAAATAAAAAAATCTGGAGCTCATCTAAGACAGAAGGAAAGAAGGTTCATAACTGCACTTATGTGAATCGCAAATTTAAAAACACATCTAAGACGAATGAGCTGGAATAAAACCTGTTCTGGTGAGCTCTGCTCCTCGAGTATTCCCATTTGCTGGGAAAGAGGCAAATTCTGTTATCAGGGAAATCAGCCTATTAAAGGGGGAGCAATTTCTCCCAGTCAGAGTGTGAAGCATGACATACCCCACTCTTAAATCACTTATGTTTCACTTCTTTATGATGCAATCGTGAATTAGCTTTTTCTCTTTCGTAATTAGAGAATAGAACAGATGGTCAGGGCTTAGTTCAGGGTGATAAATCCGTTAAGATAACCTACAGAAAGCTGCTGCTATGGCAGTTGCTGCCAAATAACTGTTCATTCAATGCTTTGTTCAGGCTTTGGGCACTGGATGGAAGAAGAACCATCACAGTTCTTCACTGCCTTGAGGTACAAGGGATAAGAAATGACACACTAGTCTGGAAAATGTATTATTACTGTCCATGTGGCTCAAGGAAGTTGCATGGTGTGATATAGGGGATGTATGGGGCAATCCAGGGAAACAGGCTGGAATTGCTGTTTCCCAACAGCTGCCCCTGCAGATACACTCACTCCATCCCAGAATGTGTGTCTACTTTTCAAAGTGTATGAAATTTAGCTGAACAGGTGACCTGATTGCAGAACAGAGATTTCTATCAAGGAGTGATTGCAAAATATCTATTTCACTTTGAATTTATGTCTTCACTCATTTTGCAAGAAATTTCTCAAAGCCTAGAATAATTTGGTCCAATCCAACTCAAAGCATTTGTCACAGTGAACCAAACCTGTAGGTCCCTTCCAACTAGAACCATTTATTGTGTTTCTATTCTATTCTGTTCCCATCCTTACACTCCAGCAGAAGGTTCCTGCTTAAGCTAGTGGACAAATACAACCTATTTTTTTCCTAAAAATAGAGGTTAGAATAATTAGGTATCCTCTAGCTTATGATTAGCAATAAGAGGTATTAAACCATAAAGCAAATAAGGCATATCAGGCTACTCCACAGGTGAATCTCAGCAGAACCCATGGGCTTCAGAGAGGTTCAGATCTACATTCAGGCTCTCTGTGCTTCTGGAAACCAGCAATACCCTTTTCTGGGATGCTTTGGCACTTCCACTGCTAATAATTTTTGCTGAAATCCTCTTCCACCATTGGAATTCAGTACTGGAGCGTTACTGCGTATCTTTGGATAACATTTGCATGGAGAACCAGTATTTCCATATACCAGGAGCTCAGAGTTTCATCACATCTGAGTGGCCAGAAACCAGCTACAGAGTTGTATCAAGTCTGTTAGAGGCAGGACTCTGCTGAGGAAGAATGTGGAGTTCTTGCGGTCATCTCTCACAAAAGCAGTGAGGATTTCTGTGGGGAAAATGGAGCCTGCCACAGACACAACCTACCCACCAAAGTGCTCGTGGCAGTCCCCTTTTCTTCATCCTCTGGAGATCTGGCCACATAGCACCACTACATATGGCAGGTCCTATACACATTCTTGTACACTTTAATGGGCACATACATTAGGTATAACAAAATGAGCAGAAGAAAACTGATTGCATACAAATGTATATAAACAAAAATACCACTATTTCAGTGTTTTATCCTGTATGTAGTAATGTCAAGGGGCTTTATTAACAAAAGCTGCTTAAGCAGAGGTTTGAATTTGATCAGGGTTCATTTGATTTCTGCACCTCACGGCTTCCTGGCTGACTGCTCAGTATCTGCCAGCATAGGCATTATGTGATGCTCTGCTTGTCCCCAAAGGTGTCAGTCAAGACAGAACCTGAGCTGGGAAATGGTTAGAGCCCAGATAAATTTATTAACAGGGTAGTCTGGACCATGAAGGCTTCCCTCCTACTCTCGCCTTCACCCGCCTCCACACATGCTGCTGCTGCTGCCTGGGCACAGAGTGATGCTACAGGAGGAGCTTCTGCCCCAGCTACACACAGCTAATAAAACACTGGGCTTCTGATGAGTGATCCTTCCCTGGATGCAGTTTGTATATGTGCTGGAGTCAGGCAGCATTTTAACAATAAACCCGCTGAATTACAATTCAGGGAAAATTTACTTGAAAATTTACATAATGTAGCTAGGGGAGACTTTAACTGCTTTCCCTTGTGCATAAGGGAGAAGAAAAAAAAGGAGGAAAATTAAGTAACAGCCTAATTGGCTTTTATAATAGTCTATGGGGAGAAATGCAGGCCGGTTCTGTGCCTAGCTACGAAGCTTGGTATGTGCTGTAACCATGGGAGGCAATATTACAGGCATGACAGGACAATGATTTGGTTTTACAGCACTGAAGATCTGAAAAATGAAATGCCTCCAGCCGGGGGGGTTATTTTCTGCTTGAGGAAGACCTGTCATGCTGGTTCGGAGGACTGCAGGTCAGGTTGCTGTTGGAGGGGAAAATGGAGGATCTGATCTGCCTGTGCACAACCCCAAATGTGGACCACAGCCATTAGGATGCCTCTTCCACCACCGTGCTCATTTTAATCACTGAGTGGCTTGCAATAAACTGGATAACAGGATGATGTGTTACAATGGAAAACAATGGACCTGTGTTGTTTCAGTTTCCACTGTCTCAAAACTGCGTTGTTTTGGGATATTTTCAGTAACAGAGAGCTGCAAGGAAGATATTGACAGTTCATTTTTTACTGAGTTTTGTCTTTAAAAAAGCACCAGTTAAATCAATGTCAATTACATTATAATATGCAAGTTTCAGGGCTAATCACTTTTTCTTACCTTCCTTCATTTCCCAGATACTTCAGGGAGAGCTCCATTGATTACCTGTCCTCCTTAGCAGCAAACACTGCCCGAGACCAAGGCCAGGGATGGGAGGGAAATGCAGTTGAGCCAGAGATTGCAGCAGTGAGCCCTGGGAGCAACGCTGTCACCTGCCACCACTTTCCAGCCCTAAGGCCTTTGTCAGAACTGGGGGAGTATCAGATTTGGTCTCTCTTCTCCAAAGGCTCCGCAGCGTGCTCCAACTCCTTCCTAAACTGTGGCTAAATGGCCAAATGATCATGGCTGAATGAGATGCCATAGGGGTAAGCTAGAAAGCATTTGGAAAGGTCTTTCTCTGATCTTCACTTCCTAGAATGGCTGAAGAAAAATGTTGTCCTTCTTCCTACAGCACAGACACTGCATTCTGCCAGCACCAAGAGCCCTGTCAAAGCCCTCTCCTCTCTGCTTAGCAGCATTGCTCTCCTGCTATCCTGCGTCAAGGTTCTGAGGACTCACAGGCATCCCATCTCCAGCCTTTTTATCGAGGTTCTCCGGCTTTGCTCCATTATGTCTTGTTATATAGGACAAAGTCATTAATCACCTATGTTGCCACAAACAGTGAATGCCATCATCTATGAGCCTTGCAGCTCTCCATGTTTTGGTGTGTGGTTTCATGTATCCAAGCAGAGGATTTGATTGCAGCCATGGTACCGATCATACACTGTGTTGGATGTCCTCAGCTGCTACTGAACTCACCATCTCAGACATGAAGATGGTTCAATAGAGGTGTGTATACACAAGACTGATCACACAACACTATTTTTTAGCTTTCATTTTAAGATTAGGCTAGAAGAATTAGCCTAAAAAGAAAGCAATTTTGTAGTAAACACCTTTATTAGCTTTGTTGTCTGGTGCCATTAAACAGTTACTTCCACATCATTCAGTAATGATGAGCTAATTCAAAATCTGGGAAAAAAGCAGACAATAGCATTAAGGCTTAACCTGGCAAACTGACCTGTGTTTAGGTTTACCTTTTAAGAACAGGAGGCTAAACTGAAATACGTGTCCTATTACAGGTATATTTATAGGGCAAGTCAAGGCAGCTGCAACTGCAAATCACACTGTGAAAACAAGTAGCCACTTAGATAGCACATTGCCTTTGCAATTACTCAATCAATACAACTAGGAGCATTGCCTATAACACTCATTTAGCAGAGCAAGAGAACTCCTGCATGCAAATACCAGACTTGTTCTCCTTAAAAACAACTTATAACAGCTGCAAGCAAATGCCTCAACAGGATTTTGTCATATTTACAGCTGCAGCTACCGTTCCATTTTTAAGCCAATCTCTTTGACTCTCGAACAGAACTGATTGAAACCTTTACCTGCAAATGCTTCACCAGTATTTAAGTGGGTGCCTTACTCATTGATTTTAGAAGACGCAATTATTTGGGCTGAATGACCGGATTAAATGTACAACCCGCTGGGGCGGGAGCCGGGGAGACGCCGGCCGCTCCCGCCCCGCCGTTATGGCGGCTGCTCAGCTCCGGAGGATGCTCGGGAGCCACCTCCTCCTCCTCCGCTCCCCGCCGCGGAGAACCGGCTGCTCCCGCACTGCCCGCAGCAGCACAGGTACCCTCTGCCCGCAGCGTGGGGAATGGGAGGAAAGGCCAGGACCCGCCCTGCAAGGGGAGGGCATCCCCATCCCCGGTGTCCTCTAGCCGGTTGGAAAGGGCAAAGGCAGCCTGCTGTAAGTATTTCTCTTGAACTGGCAGGTTATAGTTTTTATAGTTAAACTGTAATTTTTTAATGCTTTTCCTCCGCCCCCAATATCATCTCTGCATTGCAAGAGATGCATCCAGGCAAATGTTAATCACTCAGGAGCTGATATTTTTCATGTATGCTTTGCTGATGGGGGATGAGCGTGGAGGTAGTTTCCCACCTCAGACTCTCTGATTAGTAAGGAATGAAACTACTTTTCTCATTGTTTTTCAGTCAATCCATTAATTCTGCTCTCATACTGCCATACACGTTCTGCACAGTGTGTTCAGAATTATAGCAGACGTTGCTGGAGGTTTGCACTGTGATGGGGGACTTCTGCTCTCCTGTTGTGTTCCACTGTAAAGCACCACCTTTACAGTGATTAAAATAGTGTTAAAAATAATACAGATTATCTTTCTATCTAACTGAAGACAAAGGCTCTCTGACTAAACAAGCTGAAGCAACCGTTGCTACAGACTGGGAAAAAAAATTGACTCCAGAGCAATACTATGTTACAAGAGAAAACGGAACTGAACCGGTAAGCAAAAGCACTAACGCTGTCCAAGGGTCAGCCACTTTCTCCTGCTTTCAGGAGCTCTCATCGCTCAGTTGCTTCACAGGTTTTCCCCTGCCTTCCTATGGACGAAAGTTAGACTCATACTGAACGAGGTGGATTTTGTTCTGACCCAGGCTGGTTTGCAGATGAAAAACATTTTGCATTCTTTTCTTTTTTCCTCTTCCCCCCCACCCCCCCTCCCCGGGAAACTTTACTGCAGCTTAGCCGCCTCCAGAGGGGAGGGAGTAGATCATATTTTTGTCCTGTAGTGTCCTTTTTTTAACCATATGTAGATTGCAATATAACCATTGCAATATGCAGGAACCAGGTTATCCCTTGTGTGCCAGATCATCCACCCACCTTGTCCCCACACTTTGCTTCCTTCTCTGATGGAGGCCACTGGAGCATTGTGGGTGGAGCACCAGCATCCCTGTGTGGAGTATGTACCATGGGATTAACTCATGTGGACTGTGCCCAAACCCTTATCTGTAAAATAACAATCCCAACTCCAGGCCATGCAGGGAGGGGGAGAGTTCCTTTGCAGAGGCCACTTTGAAGCTCTGGCACTCCATAGCAGAGGTTGGTCTTTGGGATCCTGCACATTTCACCAGTTCCCCAGAGGTCATGACTCCAGCCCTGGTACCTGGATGATTTATGCATCAGACCAGTCTCGAAGTTTCTGGGGGCAGGGGGTAGTCTCCACTATTAATCCAAAGGCATCCTGCCCTTCATTTCTTTAGGCTGCTAATGTTTGTTCTTCAAAGCCCCCCTGCGAAGCCTTCTTTTTATGGTTTTTCTCCTGTTTTGAATCTGATTTCTACATGCTTGTTCCAGATGGCGAGTTTTTAAAGACCTGTATTATTAACTTCTCTCTTTTCTTCCTTTTTTAAAAAGCCATTTAGTGGGACCTATCTGAATAACACAGAATCAGGAATCTACTACTGCATCTGCTGCAATGCCCCATTGTTCAGGTAGCATCCTTTAGATTTCACAGTATCCTTAAAATGTCCTAACTGTGGCAGGAGAGGCAGTGTCTTTTCACGAGAGGAATGGACAGCGTAGGTCAGAAGAACAAACCTTTGGTGCCAGACTGCTATACATAAGATTTCCAGGAGACCTGTGGTGATACTGGTACATGGTAAGCCCCTTTCTTGAGCCTCTAAGTGTCTCCAGTGTCCAGCAGATGGTAGTTGCCACATTAGGCGCTGCCTTTTTCTCCTGCCACACATGCTGTCCTTTTTGGTTGAGACTAATTATATTTAAGAGATCTGTAAGCCACAAGTTGCTGCAAAATACGTGTGTTTATGTGTGAATATCACTGTATGTCTGCTCTGTTCCTGTGCTCTTCCGCAGTCATCTTCTGCCCTTCTTGCCACCAGGCTCGGGAGACCTTTGGTCTGCCTTGGTCTGGCTGTTGTTGTGTTTCTACTGCTGGGTCCTTTGGACTGGAGCCTCTTCACCTCAACCCCTTCTTTTTCCCCAAATTAATTCCACTATTTTTGCCTTTTTGGTTACATCTACTTTTTAAAACCTGGCTGCAAACAACCGTGCCATTAACCTCTGTGCTCTTTACAATCCTATATATTTTTTAACTTTATTAAAGTCTAAGTAAAAGGAAATAGAGTGCCTCAGAGTAGGATGTCCAGAGGGTGTTCTGTTCTCTGTAAGTGAACCAGAAAAGACAGTTCCTTGTATTTTTGGATCCAGAAAATAACCTTTATATATTACCGACTGTGAGTTCAATGGAATATGGTTGATATGCCCATTTTTATGACTACTTTAAAGGATGCACCACAGATCAGAAAGTTAAGCCTAAACTAAGCAATTAAATGGTAAAATTGGAGGCTGCTAATTGTGAATGGATAGCTTTCCTTTGGCCAAGTACTGAAAACTATTGTTATGCAAATGAACATTTGCTTAAATGTATGGTTTTCTGCAGAGGTTTGCTAATAAACACAAATAAAATTATTTCAGAAGCTAGTGCAGCACTGCAGAATATCCTGAAGACAAATAAAAACACCTAAAAATATTTCTGGAAAATTCAGATAAACTAAAGAAATTTTAAATTACTAAGCTATGGAAGAGTTCAGATATTCCTTCAATTTAGGGATCTTTTATATTAGACAATGGATATTGACAGAGAAGAGAGATGAGCGCTGGAGGGAATTGCTTCTGCTGCTAAACTAATAAGAAAACAACAATAAAACCAAACAGTCATGCTGCTTTTTGCAGTACACAGCTCTCAGAGAATATAGGTACTTTTGCTTAAAGCCTACAATAATGCTGAGCCCTACAGACTGATACAAGGAAACAATAACAAAAATTTAAAAAAAAACACAAGAAAAAAACCCAAACTTTTAAGGAAATTGAGAATTATTAAATGCGCAAAATGGCCTGAAAATAGTTTTTCCATGAATGCATAACATTGTGGAGGACACTAACAATAAGGAAAAAGATTATATTTGATAAGAAATTAATTCATCATGTTTATTTCCTAGTGCATTAAAAATGTCCTTTCTTTTTCAAATGCACTAGATCATTAGCTACAGGTACACATGAAGCATTTCCTCCTTTCTTTCAAAATATACATGTGTATATAGTTTTATACCAGAATTTATTACCTTCTGCTACCAAATACTCATTTGAAAGAGTTGGAAATATATGGAACAATCCCTTAACCTTTATGGACATCAAATTGGGGTGCTTTAATGAAATCTCAAACCTTCAGCAAACCATAAACCTGCAGCTGAGATTCATACAGAAAAAAACACTTTTTAGAATTATCTGGATTCCATCCAGGATGACTGAAATAGGGATCAAAGTAAATGACATGTGCTGGAGGAATGGTGTGTCGAAGGCTAATCTAATGCACATGTTTAGGGAAAGTCCGTTTATCTGTAAATTAAGTGGTGAAATACTTCAAAGGACAAATATGATTTTGAACAGCAATATTTTGGGGTACTAAAATGTTTTTATTGGGGAATATAAGTGATATTATTGTTAGTGAAACCACACAGAGACCATTTCTGTTGAGAGCTGGTTTAACAGCTTGAAAGATTGATCCTTTAGCAGTGGAAAACATCTACAATAAACTTAAGTATTGTGAGCGGCCTATAAGGGAGGGACTCAGTCAGGGACGGATGTAAAACCCACACAGCGTTAGAGCAGAAAGGCTTCCTGGACTTCACAGGGTTTCAGAGAGGATCTTTGCATGTCTTCTCTAGTATGAATAAGCGGAACGATCCTGATCAAAATCTTCTGAAAATAAAAAACAGCACAGGCGTACGTCAGGGAAACTCAGAGATGGCATACGGACATTTGTGTTCCGCTGGGTTATTTTTTGCGAAGCTGTCCCTGGAGGCACAGTGCCTGTGTGGTTGGGTGACAGAGATGGCAGGGAATCCTGGAAAGAAACAGGCCTGGAGCCCTAAATACCTTTGTGTGCAAACACAGCCTGCAACCTGCATCTGCTTTGCTGCGGCTTGCTTCTGTGCTGCGTCCTATTTCTCCCTGGATTTATGGAGGGGAGGAGGTAGGAGAGCATTTCTCAGGGGTCTCTGTGGATTGATGTAATGGACTGAGCATCAGCACACACAGAAATTAGCCTTTGGTCATCCTGTGTTTGTGAATCCTCTTTTATTTCCATAGTTACATTGCTCGAAGACAGCCACATCCAGTTAATTACAAAAATGCATTCTGAAGCATGCACTGTTCTTTGGGTTGGATTTTTTTTAAGCTTTTTGCCCAGCTTGTTAGACTTGCCTTTCTAAAGGGCATTGCAAGTAAGATTTTCAGATTTTTCTTCACCATAGTAATATCCCACCAAAATATACATTATATATTCTAGATATGTTGCTTTAAATTCTCCATTGAACAATAGGCTAATCCCCTTGATCAGAGAAAAGCTGCCGCTGGTGTTGGTGTGCCCATCCACCACTAGGTGCCAGCAAGAGCATTGGGTTTGTGAAAAGGGAATAAACCACGGGAAATCGGGAGGAAACGGTTGTGGTGGATCTCCAGACCACTTATCCCAGTAGCATGCGAGTCTGTCTTCATTTCTCTAAGTCCCACTTGGTCATTTGTCACTAGAAGAAAGTACTTGCGATGCATATCAAAGCATGCACAACTTTAAACAGGAGGTATTATGCTAAATCCCAAAAATATTTTCTGATCATATTTTCCAATATGCTCTAGGTTTTAATATGCACCTAAACAGGGTTTGTTAATCCTGTATGTTAACAGGAGGCACCCACAAGCTGTCAGTACTGCTTATGACGGCTGCGATTATCTCTTGGGAAAAGTAGATCTTTCTGCTGTGAGGATTTGTCATTGGTTGATGGATGGTTTGAACAAGGCTCTGTTTGATTTACCAAACCATTGTGATGGCTGACTGCAAGCCAAAGCCTTCATGGGACATGAGCCTGGTCTGGTGGGCCAACGCAGCCATGTGCCCAGGTGGCCAAGAAGGCCAACAGCATCCTGGCTTGTATCAGAAATAGTGTGACCACTAGGACCAGAGAGGTGATCGTGTCCCTATACTCAGCACTGGTGAGGCTGCACCTCAAATACTGTGTTCAGTTTTGGGCCTCTCACTACCAGAGGGACATTGAGTGGCTGGAGTGTGTCCAGAGAAGGGCAATGGAGCTGATGAAGGGTCTGGAGAACAAGTCATATGAGAAATGGCTGAGGGAGCTGCAGTTGTTCAGCCTGGAGAAGGGGAGGCTGAGGGGAGACCTTATCACCCTCTACAACTACCTGAAAGGAGGCTGTAGTGAGGTGGGTGTCAGTCTCTTCTCCCAAATAACAAGTGATAGCACGAGAGGCAATGTCCTCAAGTTGCAACAGGGGAGGTTTAGATTAGATATTAGGAAAAAATTCTCCACTGAAAGGGTTATCAGGCACTGGAACAGGCTGTCCAGGGAAGTGATGGAGTCACCATTCCTGGAGGTATTTAAAAGATGGGAAGATGAGGTGCTTAGACATATGATTTCGTAGTAGACAGGTTATGGTTGGACTCAATGATCTTAAAGGTCTTTTGCAACCAAATAATTCTAAGATTTTCCATACTCATTTTCCGTAGTTTGTTTCTTCTTGTAAGATCTCTTCTCTGAGGTTGTGCTGTACGGGGCCAGGCTTTGAATTGCAATTTTGCAGGCGTAATTCAGCTAAGCAATGTGCTCAGTTGTTGAGAAAATGTTTTTTTCTAAGCTTTATAATATGCCAAACTATTGAAAGTTAGTGAACTAGTGAAATAGGAACAGTGAGGCAAAAGTTCCTGTTGTGGGCTGAAGGTGAATTCCCTTTGGTAAAGAGCTTCCAGCACAGTTTGATGTCAGTGAGAAAGCTTCTACTGTGCCAAATACTATTAATAGTAGTAAAAGACAAGGACAAGGGAAAAAAATATTCTTATTAAAAACAGACCTTTTGGTAACATGTCTGTTATTAATTAACAAGAAGATCTTGTTTCTGCTACAGCTCAGAGAAGAAGTACAATTCTGGCACTGGATGGCCATCGTTTTCTGAGGCTTATGGTACTTGTGGCAGCGATAAAAGTAATACCTATATCATGAGAAAACCAGATAACTCATCAGGATTAATTAGAACTGAAGTCATCTGCAAACAGGTATGTTTATTTTGGAGGTGATACCCAAAGACTCAAATCTTAACAACTAAGTTTTCTTTGTGCCCATGAATAAATCTACCTAAATCTAGCAGTGAGAATTATGGCATCACTGGAACTATTCTGTTTCACTTCTCGGTATGAAACACATGAGGAGATTTCTAAATATCTAACAGAGACAGACAGTTTGGGTGAAGAAAATAATGTGACTGGGGAGAGTAGCTGTGCAAGTGTAGCCAAGGGCTGGAGTTTAGACAGAAAATTTATGCAGAGGACCTGAGGTGAACTGCGGGATGTGACAACAGACAGCAGAAGAGACCCTAAGATTCTGTCCATCCATCTGTCCCGTCACAGAGTCAGTGCTTCATAATTCAGTCCTGCTAAATGTTTGCTTAAGCTGTTCTTAAAATATGCAGTGATAGAGACTTCACATCCTTCCTAGGTAATGAGGTGTAATGTTCATGTCTTTCTACTATGGATTAGACACTGGGTACAACACTAAGTTTGCTTTGCAGCAGTTGAAGATTATTACTGTTTGCCCTGCATGGCAGTGGTAGTGCTCCACATCTTCTCAGCCATCTTCTGCAGGTTCCTTCACTTCGCAGAAGCCACCCTTCCATGATGGCTCTTCCTGCCTCAGCAGCATTCCCGTCCTTACACCTTTACCTTTCCCCAACCCGTGACCCATACGTGTTTTGGGATCTGCTGTGATGTCCAAGTCCCTTTCTAAAGAACTGCCTCCCCTAGTAATTTCTTTCCAACCCTCAATCTGTTCTGTTTATTATGCCTATTAAGACATAAAAGTATGGAATCTATTTTAATGAATTGCAGCCCCTTCTAGCAGGATTAGGTACTATTTGCTACTGTAACAAGCATTCACTGCAGTCTATTATCATGGTATAGTTCATGTTTGCAGTAATATCCAGTAATCACCTTTCAAGAACTTCAGCTGAAGACAACCTTCAAATTTTATAATGAACCACTGATAGCTATTCTGAGTCTTTTTCCCATCAGTAATTTGGGGTGATGGAAGAGTGAGGGAATCCTCAGTTGACCTGTAAGAAGGACCTACAGTGATTGTCTTAATTAACTCGACATTTTCATTATGTATTGAGAAACCTAGATCCTCCCATTTATTTTCTATACTTTCTGGCATTTTACCTTTTGACTTTCTCCTCTGGGATCTGCTTTTCTGGGAGCAGATATTCAACCACTGAGGCTATTAGTCCAGGATGCATTTCTAGTCTCTCCCCAAGACTCTTGCACCCACACAACTTAACAGTGAGTTCATCACACTAGTTTCTTCACTCAGGATAGCACAGTGGGTGCCAGCATAATGTTGGTCCATAATTGTAATGGTAATGATGGTACATAATTTCTGTTGCAGTGTGACGCCCATCTAGGCCATGTGTTTGATGATGGTCCCGCACCTTCTGGGCAGAGGTTCTGTATCAACAGTATTTCATTAAACTTCAAACCAGTCTCTGATCAGTGAGAAGTGGATCTCTGTGGCTTACAGAATATCCCTTCACTGCTCGTACATCAGGCTTGTGAAAAACTCTCAGGCTTTTAATACAAAACTCAAATTTTAGTACTTATGCCATTGCATCTTTGCTTTCCAGCTACTGCCAGTGTTGATAAAATACATATTTTTATGGTAACTCTTTGGCAGTCTGCCTTTTCATGGTTAGTGTGATGTGTTGTTCTGTTTATTGTATGTTTATAATTTGAAAAAAAAAATATCTATGCAATAGTTCACATTAATGACTATCATCATTAACTGTACTGAGGCTGCTGAAATGTTCTCCTGAACCTGACTTTGTCTGTGCTGAACAGTAGTTGTGGCACCCAGGAATACAGATGTACATGGCTGATCACGCCAGAGCTTTTACTTCTGAAAAATCATCATGTCCTTCTAAAGGGAAGCAAAATTAACATGAATCCAAATAAGATTTGAGGGGTTTTCCCCCCCTGATGTCAGAGACCTTTAGCCAAGACAAATGGCTTTTCCATGAACACATAAAAGCAAAGTCCTGAAGAAGGGCCTAATTAAAACTATTGCGGGCAATGGAACCAGTGGAGACACAGAGTCTTTCTTCTTTTGAATCAATGACTTTGATTCTGTGTCCCATAGCAGAGCTGAAGTAGGTTTTGCTCCAGGAACTTCCTCTTACAGAAATAATACTATAATAATGTAACGATCTGTGTAGTGTTTCCAGACTTTCATTATCACTTGTGTATTTCAGAATCTGAAAATAAAAATGAATGTGAAGTTTACTGTATTAGGAGGGAAAAAAATCAGCATCAAAAAACACGTTCAGTAAAGTGATGCTTTTGTTGAAAACATGCCTTGTCTGTTCTTCCTTGAACAAGTTTGTAAATACTTCTGTATTCTCCCAAGCATTGGCACTATGGTTTGCTGTAATGGGAAAATAAATCATATGTTTGCTAAATTGAGCTTTTCTGCTTTCAGATTTTTTTCCAGAGAAAATAATCTCTGAGTCAGAACATCAGCTTCACTAAACTGGCTGGGTTTAAATGCTTCCCTGCTGAGAGTTACTAGGCAACATCTCATTTGGCTTTACCTATAACAGGCTGTTTCCATTCTCCCCACTTTGGCTGCCTGAGTAATAAAAGGGGTGTGTTCATTTACTTCGACTAGCATAGTCTTAAAACTGTTTAATGTCTACAGAAAGTAGACCTCTATTGCCCTGAATTTACTTCCGCTCTGCAGGTTTTGATTCTCCTGTACTTTCTACAGAAGAACCAGAGGTGTGAAGCAGCATGAATGAAGCAGACACTTTGCTACTGGTTTTAGGTAGTGTCATAGATGGTGACAGTCACATTGTCATCAAAGGTGGCTGTAACAGCAGTAGTGTGCTGCTGGCTGTGGCACCAACCACACCAGGACACATCCCAGCTAAAGGCCCAAAGAGTTATAAGACCATGAATAATAAAGACCGATAATGAAGGCAGGCACTATTAAAGAATGTCATAAGCTACAAGAATTTCCTCTCTGATCTGCACTGACTTTGTTCCACTGCAGTGAATAAAGAGCAGTTGCTTCTCTGAGCTGAATATACTCTGCCAAGCAACTACAGATTTGTGTTCTACCCTTCACATCTGAGAAGTTTTTCAACATCGTCATTTCACTAATTAGTTTAAATGATGATACATTTTATCCCATTGTGTTTCCAAATAATCTATTTATAAATCCTAACTGAGGTTTCTACATAATTCTTAAGAGATTTTAACATCTTAAATAAAATCATTCAAGACTTCTTAGTCTTTGTAGCATCTCTACAAGGCAAGTAATTATTCTCAATTTTACTGTGGAAAGACTTGATGAGAATAATTTAATTGACTTTAAATTAAATTTGCAGCGAAGCCAGAATTAACCTCTGCATGGCTCCTAACAGCATCCAGATCTCCAGACCCTGCTTTTTCTAGAAATTGTTTTGGTACTTAATTGTTCAGGGGCATGAATTATCGAAAGAGAGAATTCCTAGAGCCAACTAGGGCAACTTTGCCACATAAAGAGAAATACTCGACATTCTTCTCAGAGCAAAGGTGGTCTGGGCTTGGTTAGGAATTAGACAGCTGTATTCTCTTCTCTGGCTGTGCTGTGTATTGCCAAGCAGCCTAAAATGGACCAATCTCCTTTGTTCCATCACAGCTTTAGGTAGAAATGAGGCAAGACAGTTTGCAAGCAGTAACTTCTTTGCCTGGGAGGCAGCATGGCTTTTTTCATAAGCACAGAGAGCAGATAGGAAAGCAGGGGCAGGTTTTTCTTGTATTGCTAGCAGCTTCACCCTCCTTTCACCAGAAATCGTAATGCTCATTATTTTAGCCACGTATCCACAGAACTGTAGTAATACTCTCTTCTGTTGCACCATCTACAAATCATTTGGATTCTCTTCTACGTTTATTGACAACCTACTCTCGTTCTGGTCAGAACAAGAGGAGAGACGTTTCAGAACAAAAAAAGGATTTTGGCACCCCAGATCAACTCCAGTATGAGGTGGCTCATTGTAGAATCATTAATGTTAGAAGAGACCTCTAAGACCATCAAGTCCAACTGTCAACCTAATATCACCATGCCCTAAATCATTTCCTGAATTGCCACATCCACACACTTTTTGAACACCTCCAGGGTGGTGACTCCACCATCTCCCTGGGCAGCCTGTTCCAGTGTTTGACCACTCTTTCAGTAAAGAAATTTTTCCTAATATATTGTCCTGTCACTAGCTACATGGAGGAAGAGACCAACACCTACTTCACTACAACCTCTTTTCAGGTAGTTGTAGAGAGCAATAAGGTCTCCCCTCAGTCTCCTCTTCTACAGACTAAACAACCTCAGCTCCCTCAGCCACTCCTCATAATTCTTGTTCTCCAGACCCTTCACCAGTTCCCTTGCTCTTCTCTGGACACACTCCAGCAACTCAATGTCCTTCTTGTAGTGAGTGGCCCAAAACTGAACACAGTATTTGAAGTGTGGCCTTCAAGGAAGCCTGCATGAGAAGGAATTGAAAGTCTCAGTTTGGGTTGTGCTTTTGAGCAAGACAGTGAGGGCTTAGCTGGTACTTGAAAGTCTTTGTGTTTTCTGGTCTACAACACTGTGTAGAAGATGAGTCCTCCCACCACACAACTGAACTGTTTCCTCTTCCATTCACTTAATGACTTTCCACACTGGGAGCGAAGTGTTTTAAAACCATACTGCTCTACTTGTCCCACCGCCTGCTATACCCGAGCGATGAGCTGCAGTAACACTACCCTCACAGCATGCCCTGTAATGCTCAGCACCCCATCAAGGTCATGGATTTCACATTTCTTTACAAATAAATGATGCCCAGCCCCAGCTCTTTGAGGTAGTGGTGAGCCACATGACACAGAATAGGAAGCTTAAGGGACAGCTGTAGGAAGTGACTTGACCACAGACCCCTGGGGCAGGGCAGGGAAATCTGATTACAGAAAGGGTTCTCAAAAGCTCTCCAAGTGTGAGCTGCTGCCAAAATTCACAAAGGCAAAGTAGTTTAAAAGCAAAGCTCTTTATTGAAGAAGTGCCCAGATTTTTTCAAGACTGAAAGAATTTGTCTCAAGGCAGGTGTGTCCATGGGGACTGGTTTTAGTGGCGCTGAGGAATGTGTGTGGAAGGGATTGGCAGCTTGGCATGGGGCAGAAGAAACAGAAATTCATGCCTATTATTGTACTCCCTTTTACTATCTTCTCTTTTTGTTTTTGTTTTTGTTTTTTGTTTGTTTGTTTGTTTTCTTTGCTCTGTGGTATCCTTCATTTCCCCTCCTCAGAAATCCCTTTGTAATATCCCCTGGGCTCTGGCTTTCTTGACTGTGCTCACCCTCACCTTGTGCCTGAACTTGTTAGGGTCAGAGGAGCTGCCGCAGAAATCAGGAAAAATTAAATTTAAATGTCATCAGGGATGCTTGAGTATCTTGCTTAGTTCTGGAAACAAAGACTGTGCTGCCCTGCCACATTACTGATGTAATGTAGAAATGTGGACCACAGCGAGGTCATCTTTGCTCAGGTGTCATTTTTGGAAGATCATAAGATGGGTCCAGATAGGAGGAAGGAACAGGAAATTATAGCAAAGTAGATTGCACAACTATTAGGAAAGAGACAAAGGCAACACAGAGGAAGGTGCTGGAGTCAGAGAGATTATGAGAATTCGTGTTTTCCTTTCCAGAAGGAGTCAACACTGAAGGATGAGGACATAGCTGGAGGACTGAAAGCAGCTGACTGATGGCAGCTATAGAGCTGACTGTGAGCTCTCAGGAATGGGCAAGCTGAGATCAATCGTCCCTGGTGTGACAATCTCTTGGGGACACTTCTGGCAGAGCCATGGGATGCCTATGCATTTTCTTGGATTACTGAGGGAAAAAGCCTTGTGAAGGGCTAGGATCTGAGGAAAGCTAGAAGCAGGTGTTCACGCTTGGGAAGTTCAGGAGATTGACTGCACTGTTAATCAGAATACCAGGTGCAAAATGAACCCTCGTACATTCACTGCCCCAGGAATGACCCTATTCCCAATCCAGAAAATATTCCTTCCCCATTTCAGGCTTTACATTACCTCTTAGTCCTGGGCCTCTCCCGAATGCACTTGTGTATTCACACTTGGGTCCATTATGAACAAAGGTCATTAAACCTTGTCATGTACAATATGTCTAGCTGGAGTTTCCATAAGCCCCCAGAGAAGGAAGAAAAGGGGCTCCATGAAGCTTCTCCCAAATAGCCTCCTCCTCTGGGCCTGGTCTGTAAGAAGGGCATTTCCAAAACTGGATCACTTGTAACTTTCAATGACCTTGTAGCCTTCACTTTACTTTTATGAATGAATATCTATTAAAAGCAGGGGGTAAATGTTTTTTCTTTGTCCCTCTTTCAGTTTACAAATTTGTCTTCTCCTACAGCCAGCTGTTAAAAGATTGGTTCTGCCCCTGCTTTCACCTTTCCTGTTTTATCAGCTGAGACGTCAAACT